AGCGTCTCATGAGATAACGTTAGTGTCGCATAACCGTTTCGCTAGTGACGCACGCCAGAAGCTCTAGCGTCTCATGAGATAACGTTAGTGTTGTATGATTGTGACGCTAGTGTTGTACAACTGTGACGCTAGTGAGGCACAAGTGGCACTAGTGTCGCATGTCAGTTGCGTTATCTCACACCAGTGATGCTACTTTAGCACGTCTTTATTTTAAATTGTAATAAATAACATATAACAATTTCATAATATTATTTTTCAGGTCCAAGAGATGTGCGAACACTTCAAAATTGCGTGCTTCCATATAAAACCAAAGAAAATAGAGTAATGTTGCCAATATCAAATTACCTACCAAGTTGGAAGTTTGATTAACCTTATTTATTTTCCTATTTCAATAAGTGTTATTTTAAACTCTCTGAGATATCATTTCAGAGAGTTTGTGGATATTTCCAAAGATCTGTATATGCTTGTCATAAATGTTTAATATAGAGGTGATAGAAAGTAATATGAAATGTGAAGTACGAGGTAGTACTTTAGTATTCGACGTCATTCTTATATTTGAATGTATTTGCATATACTAGCAATTATCATAGAAAATTACTCCATAATCATAAGCGTTTCAGTTAATTTTGGTTGCCTGTGAAATGCACGTGAATTTAATTTGTTCCTGTATTGATATTTTTGTTCCCTTAAATGCAACTTTTAATTTTGCTATGGTATTTCACTGCAGATACTAAATTAAAAAAGATTCTGTTATCGTTTTCTAAAGAGAATTCGAGGCGTGGTACTATTTCGTACAGATGCAGTAGAATTGCACGGTTTTATATTTTTCCAGCAATGCACTTATTTTATAAGTACTGAATGTTAATAGTTAACATATTTTTATATGTTTTTGTGAAATTAGTAATTTTGCTCATAGGCTAGTCAACTAGGATGTCTAGGTAACATCAAAAATACTATTTTTAGGGTATAAAATTTTTAAATATTTTAAACGTTTTTCCGTCTTCAATCATACCAGTTTAGTTTTTGGATGAATGTTTATTAGTAAAGTATTGTATATTAATTGTGTACTGAATCAAACTGAAATGTCACTTGGACTTGCATTTTTTAAAATAATTTAAACTATTTTGGATAAATTTTTAAACATCTGAGATGTAAAGTGCTTCCATTATTTCAATTGAGTTCTGTTTGTAATAATTTTAAATATCTATGGATCTTTAAATTTTGGTTGTGTACATTTTACTTTTGGCTGTCACTGGGACATAAATTAATGTCCTATAGACTAGTTCTTCCGTAAACTATGCTACTAAATATTGTGTAAGTTATGTTCCTGGATCATTGTTGCCAAAATAAATGCCTAGATAACGATAAGATACACTGCAGCTAAATTGTATTTTTTTCTAGAAAAATTTTAATGTATAAATGTAAGCTAATTTTATTAGAAAAGGTGTTGGTGAATAAAACATTTTCAGACTACATTTGTAACAGAAAAAAGTTACTTGATATAGAATAGTAAAAAAAATCAATTAGCTAATTAATTACAGAAATATAATTTGGTATATCAATTTAGTTTTCAATAGAATATTATACTCTTTCATGTATTTTTTATAAATAATGACTGAAAACAATAACTTGTCTGATTGTATGTCATTGCTGATTTTAATATGGAAGGAAATGATAGTAATTGTAATTTTTTTTATCAATAAATATCGGACTGACGTTTTTACATTTTGTAACTTTTTTAAATTACTGCAATAACTATATGTACTGAAAATACATATTACTAGTTGTTAAAATAATCGACAAAATTGAAATTCTTGCCCCCGCGTGTTTTCGTTTCAATTATTATGTATGTATAATTGTAAAGTAGAAAAATGTATGAATTAAAATTTTCTTAAAAAAATACTAACATTTTAAGAAAATTGCCTTTTTTATCTGTGGGTAGAAAAACATTTCTTTGTACTCCAATGTAGAAATTAAACTATATATCTTTGTGTCTGAAAGTAGTGAAAAATTATGGGAAAATGCTTTATTAGTCATGAATTTTATGTATATTTTTGTTGCATTCACTCACAAGACACAAAGTTTTATTAAAAATGTATGATTTTTTATATGTACCAGTATCAGTACAATTTTAATATAAGATTTTCAACATCTCTCATAATGTAGTGTCAAATGTATTACAATTTTTAAGGAACACTAAGTTCTTAAAAATTAAATGTTTAATAAAATCTTTAAAGGCAAATAAAATATTGTAAAACATATTCTGCAGTTTTCTTCTTACCAACATCTGATCCCAAATTCTGTAATTTTTGTTTAGTCTGTGCTAATACTATTAGTATTTGATAGTTTAAAAATATAAGTCCATACTAGATTACTGAAATGTATAGAGTGCTTTGGAGGACGAAACCCGGTGCGCCGACCCTATGGTAGTATGATAAGGCAGGGGAGATGATGATGACTAGATTACTAAAATGATTCAAATACACAAAATAACTAAAATTTCCAAACAACATACATCTTTATTAAAGTAATAAAAACACTTAACCAAGAGAACTAATTGTTTCATTAACTTCATCACCCAAAGACAACAGTTTTCTCCATTGCTCTGGTGTTAAGCTAATACCCTTCTTCCCTGGCAACAAGTCGCCATTTTTCTCATAGAATTCTCTTACATCTACATAAACTTTTCCTTTGAACTCTCGGACCTTCACTAACTTTTTACCCTGCAGCACCCAAGTTGGTTCTTTATCTTCAGTCCTATTACCCATTTTGGCTTTCTTCTCTGCTGGGGGATTTCTCTGAAATACAAAATGATTTAATATTAGTTACAACACAAAAAGTTATATTGTGGTTAACCAATTAATGATTTTTGGTGAATTAAAACTAGACAAATACGTTTCTTTCATACATTGTTAGGGCGAGCAATAATTGTTGACGTGGAAAACTAGCCATTAAAGGAAATATGTTAAATTAACGTTACATCTCGTTTTTTTCTAAATATCATTTTATAAGAATGTATTTCTAATAAGAAATGTGACATCTCAGGTTACCGGCATTTTTAACCATCATTTTAAAGTAACAAACATACACCAATTTAATTGTTTACCTCGGGTCAAACTGCTCATTGCGTTTAATCTATTTTTGTTGTTAAATAAAGATATTTGGATTATGTTTGTTTGTTGAATGTTTAATAAATGATGTGATCTTACATCAACTGGACCTTCATCACTGTCGCTGCTCGAACTTTCTTGCTTCTTCTTATTTTTAGGCATTTTACTTCTTAAACCAACTACTTAATTTACCCGTAGAAATGTTTTTAACTTTCTATCTATTACGTTTACGCGTTTTATTCCCTTCGCATGTAGTATTTTAATAAAAAGTTTACTTAAAAACACCTTTTCTTTTCTCAAAACACATTACCATAATCACAAAGAGTTAGTTAGCTGCTTTCGTTTTAACAACTATTTGATTCCCTGTTACCTAAATATTTTACCTATTTGCAATCGTAATCAAATACAAAAAAAAAACCGCCACGGAATTCTCAACAGTGAAATATTTAAAAAAACTTGTTTAAATTAATATTCCTAGAAACTCCTAAATAAAAAGAACAATAGAAACAACAAAATATAGCTAGACCGGATGTACCTAGGACCGCTGGGAGTGGCTGGGACATGGATTTAACTAGGCACCTTACTCTTTGACATTTTCATTTTTCAGTCAAAAGTTATGTCAAACCGGTGACAGACAATGACAATGTCAATTCAGTTGTTAAATTGTTGTTATTAACGTCAATTTGAGACTGAAAAAAAATTAATCTAAAAATTATTAAATAATAAAGAACGATAAACATATGTGTTGATCTATAATTAACAACGATAAAATGCTAGAACCGTGGAACAACAAAAATCTTTTACCGCCTCCAGTTCAAACATGTTTTTGCGCCGAGTATATTGGTAAAATAAAATAACCACACTTTTATAATAACTAGAATATCATATTTTTCCTTAATTAATGATAGGTTAAATTTTAACTAATATAAATTATTAAATCTTTCAGATTCCAGATATTTAAAGCAAGCATGCACTAATTCAGTAAACATTCTGTCTAAGCAATCTCCATTGCATAATGAAAGTGCTTTACTTTCAAGATTTTTATATAAATATGATAAGAAGTTCCGAAATGATATTGGATATCGAATATTTAAAAAAATCAATACCACTCTTCGTAGATATTTAATGTTAAACATCATAAGAGACATTGAAAATTTTTCATCAGCTTTGCCTGATGAAACTGAAACTGATAAGTACTTGCCTACGCGGCAGATGTTACAGTATGTGCTGGTGAGACTAGTGTCATTCTCCAAACTTATGTTGAGGATATCAGTTTGTTGCAAACAAGCAGCTGTTTTTTATTTAGATAGAATAAAAAGAGGCGAAAGTCACTGGATGTCATTAATGCCTTATGCATTACTGAGCAGAATATGGTCCCTAAGTAATGTTTTACTACAGCATTCTTGCGGTTGGTACGCACAGATGTACCCCTTTTTAGAAAACCTTCAATCAAAAGGTTTACCATTTTTACCAGATGATTATGAACTTCCTGTTAATTTAGCAGATTGGTTGGATTTAAAAAATCTTGAAAACTATGGCCGCTTCGAATGGGCTAACAAAGAAGTTATCAATGTTGATAAAATATTAATTGAAGATTCTGAAAGTAATACAATAGATAGTTTAATGATGTACATAAATGAAATAAATAATGACAATGAACAAATACAAACAAATTTACATGTTTCTGAACCTATTTGTGAAAGACCTGTACACTCTACTGAGAAATATGTGGACAAAGGTGAGGTCATATCAAGAGAACACTTTAAAGGTGTGGACAAAGGTGAAGCCATATCAAGAGAACACTTTAAAGGTGTGGACAAAGGTGAAGCCATATCAAGAGAACACTTTAAAGGTGTGGACAAAGGTGAGGCCATATCAAGAGAACACTTTAAAGGTGTGGACAAAGGTGAGGCCATATCAAGAGAACACTTTAAAGGTGTGGACAAAGGTGAGGCCATAACAAGAGAACACTTTAAAGGTGTGGACAAAGGTGAGGCCATATCAAGAGAGCACTTTAAAAGCTTCTTTGAGCAACCAGAGAAAAAAGTTAAGGCAAAAAAGGGTGCTTACTATCATTCATTGGACAGAGTAACCAATACTAGAACCCTAGCAGAGTTTGTAACTAATGAAGAAACTTATAGATATGAACAGAATATAATGTCATTAACCAATAATTTGACATTCATGCAATGGCAAGCTTTAAAAACATCACTACTACGGCTATGTGAAGACAATCTTAGTAATAACAGGAAAATTCAGAGAAAATTCTTGCAAATATGGAAAAAGAAATGTATAGAGTGCAGCTAATAAACATAACTAGCAAAATAGACTATTTTAAGCCATAAATTGTAATAGTTAGTTCTATTTATATAAAATATCCTTTCTTAAATTTTTAAGAATGTAAGTTCTATTAATTGATTTTTGTTATTAAATTTTTATAAGTATAATTATTTATTTGACCTTTTCTAGCCCAAATTTTAGGCATACATACAATACACAAGTAATTTCAACTAAGAACTACTAGGACATGTCTTAAAAAGAGAAAAAACAAACAATGAAAGAGCCCACTTAAACATCTTTGCACAAATGAGTCGGCTCGCCCCCAGCAATACTACGACCACACAGAAGACAGACGTCAAGTGGGAGCAATTCCGCGTTTCGTCTGATGAGTGTGGGGCCGGAGGCCTAATTTTGATCCCTTTTCACTCTTTCCTAAACAGCTAAGGATGGGAAGTAAAAGATTGACGAGTCAGACATAGGAAGCGGAAATGTCCTCTTTATGTGCGTCGTTTAAGGGTAGGCAACGCATCCACTATTACTAATGCCTATACGCAGCGGTCGCTTCGCCATTTTGGCGGATTCAGGTGGCCGCCTTATAATATAAAAAGGAAAAAAAAACAAGGTAATTCAGAGAACAAGTTAGACAAATAAGAAAGATCTCTCTTGTTAACATATTTTATTATTTATATTACATCCAAATACAAAACATAGCTAAAACAACACGTAAAAACTTCACAATCATTGTTTTCTTTAAATTATTCTCATAAATTACAAAAATTATTTACATTTCCCCTCATTGTTATAAAACAATATCCAAACCCTTGTTATTTCGATGGAATGAAGCATTCAAAACGGCAAATTAGTGCCTTTTTTCAAATTTTTAGTTCTCAATTGAATTCACAATTTTGCAATCAAAGCTTAACAATGATTCAATATAAGAAAAAACCGTAAAAACAATACCAATTAACATTTTTTTTTATTATCGTGAAATATATACATTTAACACTTGAGTTTTACAGATTACATACAATAAACTATATTATATATAAAATATCTCAAAAATTTGAGGTAACAGACAAATGTATATTAATAATTCACATAAATTCAGTTACTTTTTTTATTATGCTCGATTTATTTGTGCAATTATTTTTAATATTTGCATAAATTTGGTATTCATAAGCTTTTTGTATTGTATTATTATTTTGACAATTTAATTGTAGATTAACATAATTTTTATTAATATGTTAAACATGGATTACAATTGTTTTAGCAATGAGATTTCTTTGTATTGAAATTATATTATAAGCGTATTAGCACCTATTATAGAAATATAAACAAAGCTGTTTCACACAATTAAATGCAATAATACAATGACACGAAAAATTTTTCACACACAGGTACATTTTGTGAGATTTTGACAGCAAATTCTTTTTTGTACTTCACATAAATTAATAAGAATTGTGCTGCCTGTATCGCCGATTCCTAGCTAGGTGGTCATTTTGCCCTTATCTTCTTGTACCTGACAATTTTTGAAGACGAGCCTTCAAACCTCCTTCTTTCTTAGGCTGTGTCAAGGATTTCCTTTCATCTTGAAGTTTTTTATTTTCTTTTAATCTGGAATAGGAAAAAAAAATTCCCATGTAAACATATTTCAAGAAAAGTTATAAGGTATATCCAGAATGGATCAACGAATCTCAATGAAATTTAGCATAGACATGGAACATTCTGAAAGAACATACGTTACATACGAAAACCATGTTTTCATTAATTACTCGCGGAAAAAAGCTATTTTCAGAATATATGTGAACACTCACTTTTCTTTTATTGCAATCTGTTCTTCCTTCTTGTAGATATCTTTGAAGTCGCTGCAGAATGAGGTCCACAGGGAGAAGAACTCCTTCGGCTCGCAGTCCTCCAGCTTGCCGCACTTGGGCGTGTACTGGTAGAACTTCACGGTGCCAATAAACTTGGTGCGGCATTCCTCCAAGTTATCGTTCTCAGTCTTCAATTTCTCCTCAGCTGCATCAAGGAATGTTTTCATCTTATCTTTGAACACTTCCAACCTTTTCGTATTATCACCCGCTGATGGAATGCAGTCTTCGTTCCTTTGAGCATCACATTCTATTACTTTCTTTGTCTGCTCTTTGCAATCTGTTATAATAAAGACACGGATGATAAATATAAATAATATGGCATGAAAAAAAATCTTAGCTAATACGTAAAAGGCAAACATTAGGAGGTGGCATTATTTATTATAGTAAATAATACAAAAATACTATTTTTTTCGCGACAATTTTCATTGTGACTATTATGACTTAAGTTACGTTACGTTAAGATCTACCATTAGTGTATATTGTGTGTTACGTCATTTTTAACCTAAAAATCTCAGTTAGGGATACAGTTAGAAAATAATAGTGATAGTTATAAAAGAGACATGTATACCTTGCAGTCGTTTATCTAGTTCGTTGAGTTGTGCGGCGACGTCAGCGAAGTCGATGGCGGCGGCGCGCGCCACGTCGCCCGGCTCGGGCACGGGCAGCGCGCACGCGGCCGCCAGCGCGCCGCCGCGCCCGCGCATGTACGTGCGCACTATGAAGTGCAGCAACGTCACCTGAGAGTGCTTCGACTGCACGAAACAAATTAATTCAAATACAATATGTCTTATGTTGTAAACTATTTTTTTTATTATATTACTAGCTGTTCTCGCGCGGCTTCATACGAATGAAACTTTATTTTATTGTTTACATTCGTCAAATTCTCAATTGCAAATGTCAAAATTACCGTTACTTGAAATTTATGGTCCCTTTTCTATATGAAGAGTTTTTTTCCAATTTTCTTACTCCCTAAGTTTAAAAGCGTGAAAGTATATAGTCTACAGTGTGTCGTAAGTGTAGAGCTTTTTATTGATTTTGCGATTTTCATTATCAGCGACGCAAATACATCATCTTATCGAAATTTGGAATTTTTCTTTTGATATTACAAACGGACACTTCAATTTTATTATATGTATAGATATAGATAATCTATGTTTAAACTGATGATAGAAACATTAACACTGGCTCATACCTTAACATCTTTCAGTTTAGCAAGTATTTCTAAGCCGAAGCCATCAGCCTGTCCCCGCTGGCCGTTGCCACCATTCATGTAGTTCCCCAAAGTCAATATTATAGCAAATAGCTGCTTTAATGGTTCACTAGTAGTAAGAAACTGTAAATAAAAACAAACAAAAATGTAGATATATGTGGTTTTTATTTAATTTGTTTAAAAAGCATTCTTAATAATAAAGAACTTACCTCACATGTATGTTTTAAATTATCTAATTTGTGCATCGTTGTGTTCACACCATCTTCAAATTCAGCTTGAAACATAAAGCAAGATATTCTTTCCGCAAAATTCGGTATCCCAGATAGATCATGCAAGAAACTTTCCGGTTTATCTAATGGGATTTCTGGTTTACTTCCTAAATGATCTTTTATTAATACCAATTCTTCATCGCTTGCTCTCTAAAATGAACCAAAAACGGTAAAAACAGTACAAATCTTACTAATATCATAAATGCGAAAGTTTACAAGGATGGATGGATTTTTGTTTGTTAAAGTTTGTAGCCTAATCTCAATGAAATTTCCCAAAGAAGTAGAGTCTATTTGGAAAGAACACACACACACACTACCTTTAGTTTTTTTTTAATTCCACGTGGTCGGAGTCGCGAACGAAAACTAGTATTTAAATAATAATTAAATGAAAACACTTACCAAATCATAAATCTGTTGTAGTGATTCTAAGCTGACAACAGATGTATCAAAATTGTATATAGCATTTTCTATTTCAGAGAATTCTACATGTAAACTTTGTGCCAATATCCCGACATTTTGTGACCGCTTGCTGTCAAGCAATTTGACTGGTTTTATTTTAGCTTTGACCTCCGTTTTCTTTTTCGCCGGAGCTTTGACAACTTGTCTCGAGAATAAATCAGTAAATTCTTCAATATTATCCAGTTTCGTTTCTTCAATTTCCAACCACAAAGGTTTTAATTTGCTCACTTCTGAATCTCCTTGGTACGCTGGTTGCGATGGCGCGGCCAAAATACGTGTCCAGTATAACGGTTTCATAGGCGCAGCTGGTTTTATTGCCGTTTTTCTCAATGCTGGAAAAAATATTTATTTTTAGTGATTAATGAGATGAATTAAAAATACTCCAATCAGAATGATTTATTATTTTCATTGATATTATTATCATTATTTCAAATTGTCACGAACTTTGGTTAATCACAAACACAAATAATTTTTAAAAATTATATTTTACCCGTACTTACTGGCTCGTTGCATGCTCCAACCGCCGGCGGGGGGTGCGGGAAAGGGAAGGGGCCCGGTGGCGTGCTGCGCCGGGGTACCTGGGGCATTCAATGGCGGGGGTGGCGGGGGATTGCTACCTAACGACTGCCCTGCCCCTGGCATAGGCGGCGGAGGAGGTCCTTCCCCTGGGGTTGGGTGCAGAGCCGGCCCCATACCAGGCATTGGAGGTGGAGGAGGCATCATTCCAGGCATAGGAGGTGGTGGAGGACCCATTCCTGGCATAGGAGGTGGTGGAGGCCCCATTCCAGGCATAGGAGGTGGTGGTGGCCCCATTCCAGGCATAGGAGGTGGTGGTGGCCCCATTCCAGGCATAGGAGGTGGAGGAGGCTCCATTCCTTGCAAAGGGGATGGAGAAGGCACCATTCCAGGCATAGGAGGTGGAGGGGGCCCCATTCCAGGTATAGGTGGAGGTGGTGGCCCCACTCCAGGCATTGGGGGTGGTGGAGGCCCCAATTCTGGCATCTGAGGTACAGGTTGCCCCATGTCAGGCATTGGAGGCGGAGGAGGGGGTATACAAGGTGAGATTGGTGTTTGTACTGTGCTTGTCTTAATTTCCACGATAGTTGTAATTTCTTCGGAGGTTACAGGTGATGATAATTTTTGTACTTTAGAATTTTGTGCGGATATATCACATTTTTCTGGAGGTGGTGATAGACATTTATCTGGACTTGAAGATAATGTCTCTTCCGACTTTACAGGTCCTGATTCTGTCAGTGGTGTGGTCACTTCTGTATTTGACACAGATGTGGATGCTTCTGTACTTGAAATAGGTATATTAGTTCCTACAGAAGATGTTATTAAATCCTCATTGCTATCTTCTTCACTTTTTGATTCACTCTCATCAGATAATATTGAAAGTGATGGAACATTTGTTATTGTGATTGGTAGAGATTTTGATTGAGCTGGATTTATGTATGGAGCAGGAGTCATTAGTTCAGGTGCTATTGATTGTGTTCCTGGTGCAGGAGGTGGTGATGGAGTTTTCCCGGGCATAGGTGGCGGTACCGAAGTCAATGTGTGGCTTAACTCCGTACTAGGCAATGTTGCATCCAGAACTATGGGCAATATTTTGGTGTCACTATGTGTTTCTATCTGTGTGCAATTTTCCTCAGAAGTTGAAGCATTAACATAACTAGCTGAGCTTTCGCTTTGCTCATCAGCAGACTTTTGTGACTGATCCAGAGAAGATTGGCTTAATTCTGATGTAACATATTGGTCCACTTTAGAAAAAAGAATATTTGTGGCAGACACATTCTTTAAACATGATACATTTTGAACAACAGTTTCGCTTTTATTCCACATATGATCGAGGTTACTTTTCTCATCTGTCAGTTTGCTGGAGGTGTAAGTACTGGCAAATGAAGAGTCAGAAGAACTGTCATATTTTTGATGGTCAGAACTTCTGTCCGGAAGACTTACAGCATCATCAATAATTTGGCTATTGTTATCTAATAAATCATCCTTACGCAATGGTTTATTATATTCTCTACTTTTATTTAATTTACAATAATTCTCTATTCTTTCAGATCTTTTTTCACATTTATCTTCAGCATCACCCATCTGATTTTTATAAACTAACCTACTTATTTCTATTGTGCTGACATCATTGTTGTTTGATCTTATTGGGCTATCATATTTAGATGAACTTATCACAGGCCTGATGTGAACATTATTCTCATCATTGAGGGTCAATAAAGTCTGTACTTCTTTGTCAACTAGTTGGTCTTTGTCTTTTATTAAATTACTATCTTGCATTAAATTAAAGCTACTTGGTAAATTCCTGTTTAACAATTCAATTTGATTACTAATTTTTACTTTTTGCAATAGATACTCTGCTTCTTGTAGTTTCTTTTTTAATTGTTTGATAACAGCTTTTGCCTCTTGTATATCAATTGTTTCATCATTATTGTTTTGACTGTAGAATAAACTGTTATCCATTGCAGTATATAATGTTATATCACGGGAAATTTGATTTGTTTCTTTGTCCGGTGGCCATGAACTGGTGTGCAGCCTTCCCGGAGTCACTGGTTGTGAAACGGGTGCCTCCATATGTGCCCAATAATACATTAGGTTAGGCTAAAAATAATACATTAAAAAGTTTTAAACATAAACAAAATTTTTAATTGAAAAACTATTTTAACTAATCAAACATATAAAAACTTTATATATCCAATGTTTAAATGCTACTTTAAAAGAAACAGATACATACAGTGGGAGTAAAGATAGATTAAGAGATCACGGAAGTAAGAAACGGAATAAAATTGGATATAGTTCTGTATGTTAATTTTCTCCATCGTACCTTAAATACATTTTCCGTCGGTGCATCTTTATCTGATATTTGTCGTAGAACTCCTGCTGCTAATAGATGCGTGCAATATTGTACTCCAATATTTTTCAGATCTTGAGTGCTTATAAGGCTTTTAAAGTTACCATTTTCAGCAATCGATGACACAAACCAATTAAGTAGCATCTGCCCTGAAATTGTAAATTGGTCTTCTCAAACATACGTAATGTAAACAAAAATTTAGTTTATAAAAAAACGAGAAAATTCACACGAAATTTGTCACAAAAACAATATTTTTTTTGACATTTCTAATTCTGATTTTGACAATAGAAATGTGTAATGTTGCTAGGAAAGAGTAACTTTATAAAGTTACTAGTATAGAATTTGTAATAAATCAATTTATTTTCTATTGTATGGTTTATACGTATTTTATTTAAGATTTTTTATTTATTGTTGTGTGTTTAGGTCTAATATACAAGTTGTAAGGATAACATCTCCTTTCGCCTGAATCTGTCAGCATGTTTTGTTTTCCTATAAGATCGCTGGGATTGAATCTACGACCAAAATACTACTGTACACAAAATTCTAACGACTTTGTTATCACGATTTCGTAATCATTGATTGTTATCTTATTAAAAGTTGACTTTTACAGTCTTAATAAACTGTACTAAAACTATCACACTTATCCATAAAATAGTAAAATACGTATCAAGTTTTAGAGTGTATAACCAAATCGACAATAAAATGTTGATAATTAGTTTTGAAAAACATAAGTGAATTACCTATGTTACGTTCGATACTATTTTCTGGAATAGCGCGCTTAAACAAGCTAGATATTTTCACATCATATAAACATTTATGATCACTATCTCGCCGTATCGCCACTTTAATTACACCCGATCTCATGTCCCACTCCACTAACGTCTCACAAAACTTTCTTTTCGTATTGAATATAACAATTCGAAACCACTCCACCGCACGATCCATGTTTATTGTCATGGTTTTACGAACATAAGGCACTAACGTTCGATCATTTTCAAGCAATGTTGTTTTACGGTAGAATTTTCTTCTCGCACGTCTAACTTTGGTGTCCAAGTCGACGAGAGCAAAGTCGTCGGAATGCAATCCGAGCACGGTAAGGATATTGTGGACGCCTCTCTCGGCCGAGTTGGGCTTGTTCAACAACTTCACATAGTTGTATTGGGCTACGGAGGAGTTTGTGAAATTGACTCGACTTGTTGCCAGTTGCATATTGGCAAGTTTGCACTTCACTTGGCACACGTAAAGTCACGTACACACTTCGCATTTCTCGGTATCGCCACTGAGACTGGAGTGATTACGGATAAGAATTAGCCTGTTACCTCTACCTACCTATCTAATTGTTCATAACTGATAATGTTTTTTATCGTGTCGCTCATTCATATAATTGTTTGGTCGTTGATAGCGCCAGGCGTCCTTCGAGGTTCTTCATTTGATGTGCGTAATTCACCCGGTAAACAAATTACTTTAGATAGCGTTGCTAGGTATCGAGTATTATCACTGTAGCTATAGATTTACGACTGTCATAATATAAAAGATTTATTATATGCCTCTAAGGTCATACACTACTAAAGCAATGTAATCCAGTATTTTCAACTTCAAAAACATCCACGGATAATCGTGGGACGCTATTACTTGTTGTAAAAACTAAACATTTGAAAGTAACCAGTCGAATAGTTAGAACTATAGTTAGTAGTTATGTTCAATTTTAATATTGTAAAATACATACATGAGCAATTGAACAAACCTTCAAACTTCTCATAGAGCTGGAAGTCCAGTTTCTCCGGCACGAACCTAGGCCGCGCTACCTTTGCATCTGTCAGCTTGTCCAAAGTCAGCGAAGCCACTTTCCTCAATACATTGGATTCCGCCACGGGCACATCGCTTAAACTCGAATGTCGGCGGTCAATTTCTGCAAAAGGAACAATTCAAAGCCCCGTTTTAGATTATTCTAAAAGACAACTTAGCTACGGATTTAACTTTTATCCCAACTTAAGCCAAAACTAGATAAGCTAATATTGAGACGTTGTTAATCCTAAGGAAGACTCGAGGTATAGTAAATTTGGGAATGGAATATGGGACTAAAAGTATTCCGAATATTAACGTAATCTATGCGCAATTTGGACTGTCATAAATCAAGTAAGATCAATCATGTGTAAAATGTTGAGGAAGGTGAGTTTCCCTTCGACGCAGCGTTGCTCTAAGAGTCAACCATGCATTACGATAATTATAGTTCACTAACTGTTGCTCGCGACTTCGTCCCCGTGAAATTAAAAAATGTTATATTAATACTATGTTATAGTAATGTTACTCAGACATTATACACAAATACACATTATATACACAAATAAATTACCTTTTTAATGGTAAAAGTATTTTTGGAATCAGCCCAGTAATTTTTGAGTTATTTCTAACATACAAAAATACAAAAACAGACATCTTGTCTCTTTATAATATTAGTATAGATTAAAAGTGAAAAAAAATAATTCTTACATTTGTGTACACTTAAATACAAATTCATAATTACCATCTTATATTTGTATATAACGCCTTAGTTTAATCTATATTTATGTGCGAGATAACATATTGCTCCGAGATGTGTTGCACTGAAGTATTACGTTGCTTACGCATTATTTATTTGTGTACTTTCTCTTCGTTTCTGTTCTTAGAAGTTTAGGTACTTACACCATTTCATATTACATTAAAATAATAAGGCAAATTATCTTTATCTATCCGAACATAAGGTATACACTATTAATCAAAGCCCATGGTTTAAATAAAGGCGTAATATGAACAGCATTTTCCTCGTTCAAGGCTCCTTTTTGACCGACTTCCCAAAAGAAAGAGGTACTCAATTCGTCTGTTTTTTTTTGTGTATATTACGGCATAACTCCGCCGCTAGTGGACAGATTTTCCATTATCTATGTATTAAGTACTGTGTTAATTTGTTAATAATGTCGATAAAGCAAAACAAATAGCTTATCACCAGTTAAGTTCAAAGTTTCTTATAAGGATTATTATTATTGTTAGACATCAGATCAGCTGTACAACTAATTAAAAACAATAAACAATGTTTTGTATCATTTAGATTTCAAATTATTTCATATTACGAGCACCACTATAAAACCACTATAAAATCATTTAAAAATACAATGGGCTCCATTGCCAATGTATTATGCCAGCATGTACTATAATCGGTAAATATTTAAGTTACAGCTGCTGTTGTACCTTTCGCAGGTGCAACATAAAAGTGTATAACTGGTTAAGCATACTCATTGTATGTAAGAGTATGAACATGGAAAACGTAACGGTCCCTTAATTTTGTCGAGGTTCGTTTAACAAAGAGTACGAATCTACAAACCTACGTAATATTTGTCATACTTTTCTCTTTGTCATTTGTATCTTTGGTCTCCATGCACAATAATGTGAATATATTACAAAACATTGCTTGTGTCAAGTAAATAATTTATGTAAACGTACTTTAAACTATGCATCTAAGTCAGTTTCTAGTTGGAATTATTTTATTGTGGGAAAAGGCAAGGGAATTTAAGTAGTACTCGAAAAAATTGACGTGTGTTGAGATTGTGCGATGTGTTTATCTTAGATAAGTAGTATTGACTGACCGTTATCGACGAGGGCGAGGGCGAGGGCGTCGGGTGCGCTCACCGGCGGTAGCTCCACCCGGCGGTGCTTGGACACCGTGAAGGCGGTCTGCCCTGGGCAGGCCTTCAGCCGGTTCTCCAGGAACTCGTGGCTGCACTCATTCGGCTCCGACTCCGGTTTCGGTCTCGTCAGTATACCGCCCATCGTGTACGCGCCGATGTCGCTCGGCTCGCAGTTTTCATCGAATACGTCAGTTGCAATTTCTTTTTCTGTTTCTGTCGTGTGTGTCGCGGCGTCCGCGTGCGGCATGTTTACAACCGGCCAGCCGCTCTCCGGCGATGTGTCGACTGAGCCGGCTGCGGGCGGGGGTGGGGACGAGAGGGCGCGCGAGGGCTCGTCGTGCGCGCTGTCGCTCTCCGCGGAGTAGTAGCACTGGTTGAGCTCGACGGCGAGCGGCGTGAGGGGGTCCGTGAACACGGACTCGGAGTTGGAGTCGTCGGGTGCGGTGGGCGCGGTGGGCGCGGGGGCCGGGTGCGCGGAATCGCCGCCGCGGGTCGGTGACCGGCGCTCGCGCGCGGCCGCGGACCACCTGGACCCCGTTACCTCCGAGTGCTCGCTGCTCGTCTCCGCGCCCCCCGCGTCCTCTGCACCGCCCCCCGCGCTCCGGCACGTTGTTTTGAACACGCACTCGGCCGTATCGTTATCGGATGCCTCGATCGCTTCATTGTTATCGGAATCTGGCGTTTTATCGGCCTCCCTGTCGAACGCCTCTCGTTTCGCGATGCTCTTTTTTCTTGCTCGTTTTTTGCCGTCCTTGAACGATCCTTTCCTGTTTAAATTCCTCATGAAATGTTTCCCCTTCGCTGGCGACTTCCCAGCCTTCGACTGTTTTTCATTGGCTTGGGTGTTGCCCATTTTTGAGGTTTTAAATGGATTCACTAATTCGATAAGAATACGATAAATAAACGCTTAGTTATATAAACTGACATAAAACATTTTATAATGTAATCTAAATCTTCTAATAGAAATATTGTCACAGCCCTTGAAGTCCATCTGTGTTTTCCTGGACTGAAGTTCGCCATGGCGCATGTGCTAACAAGCAGCTTGATCAATACAAGAAAAATCTTGCCTAGTTTAAAAAAGGTAAAAACTATAATACTAACAACAAATCATTTTACCAAAACATTGCAGTAAAATTTTATTTAAAAAAAACTGATCATATTTCTTTTGATAATTAAAGTTTTTCATGTAAACTATTGTAATGAGCGGCAGATGGCGTGCGTGTCGCCCTTAATGGTTGCTTAATGGTCTTCATTTGTAGGGCAGATACGCAAACCAGTCTTTGTACTTGCAGTAGCATTGACTGTGTAGTGTATACTTTACAATGCTATAGTTCTTTATAATACGTTAAACGCATATTGCCTAAGATAAAAGAGTGTGAAGACCTTGTAAATAAGATGTCTTATGTTTCTGATACGAGAAAAATATTAATCTGATATTGCGTTTGCGCATAAAATGTGCTTACAGTAAAATTGAGCTTCTTTACGGAGCAAACTGGCTTATCCTTAGGTTTGAATTTACTTTTAACTTCAAGACTACTTGAGAGAAATATTTATTAAAAATATATCCTACCAACTACTATTGCATAAAAGTAAACAAATCGTATATAATTCGTACTTACTTTTACCCTTTTTTAAAATAAGTAGTTAGATTTAACACTTTATAAAGACAAAAAAGTGTTTTTGAGTAGAAAACTAAGAAACATAACAATAATCTTAATTTGGAGTATCAGTTATTTACAAACTGTTAACATATAATGAGGGTAATTGTAAAAAAAAACAATTATAATAGATTATATACCTTTAGACATCAAGACTGTGTTTTTTGATTCGTTTTTCCCCCTTGGCTTTTTCTCTCCGACTTGTAGCTTTTATTTTTATTGTATTAAAATAAAACGCCGATTATTTGTAAAAGGTTTTTATTTTCGAACAGTCTTACATGAATATTTACAAAAAAAATGAATTGAATTATATCTAATTCGTAGATCGACTTAAATTCTAATAAAAATGAATAATATGGCATTAAGTAGTAGTTGTCCAATGTTAGTCTTATTTATATTTAATACATGCTATAAAATAAACTACCCTCAAACAATCGTGTTGTCAAACAAAAATTAAACTAAAATTCTGGCAAATCAGCGCCATCTATGTTTTATTAATGCTTACAATGGAAATGACAGTTTACAGTGAGTTTTCATTAGCCGAAACACTCTTATAAAAACACATTGTGGAGCCTGACCAAGAATATAAAAATTATATCCTGCTTCACGTCACTATCAAATGTGCGCAAATAAATTAGTTCCATAATTTCTGCAATTCGAGAGTTTTTACATTTCTGGTCAGGCTAAATAACTCTCATTTATTATTAATAATAAGAGAACAACATGTTTTCATATATGTTTCGGCGGTGGAAACAACGAATATGATTGTAACTTTAAATTGTGTGTGTGTGTGTGAACACATTCTTCCGGTTTAGAATTATCATTGAGTTCTAATTATATACATTTGTTAAAATAAGGAATGGTGCTATTATGTGGCTTTAACTATAACAGGGTTGGCAGTGTCGTGGTTATAGTGGACGCAATATTTTATGAACATAAGATTTGGGTATCACAAAGATTTTGTAATTAAATGAAATACTAATTTTAATATCAAATTACTTTCAATTCAGTGATTATCTTAATACAAATGTGTAAGTACTAGAAAGTACTTTTTGAAATATTCACTGTATTTGAAAATAAAAAAAATTACTACATATTTTCAGTATCAATTGAAACTAGAAATAGTTAAGTTAAAGAATACTTGATGTATTTTGTATGAAAAGAATGATAATTAAAAACAAAATATTAATTAAATGATTTAAATTGACTTATTTTAAATTCCATAGACATTAATGGATATGAAAGCAAAAATTAAAAATAAGAAAGGCATTTACTTACATAGAAAAAATATACAAATGAAAAGTAAATATATGAGTTTTCATTAACTACTTATCTAAATAAAAATAAAAGAAAATATACTTCGCCTACACCAAAGATACAATACATCTTGTAAACAAATATTGCTATTCTTAAAACATTCAAATTGAAATAATGAATAATAAATATTTAAATATTAAATCACTTATGTAATAAATAGGGTTGTTTCAAAATTAATTTGGACGGCAGAATCGTTGAAAAAGTGTTTCCGCTACGAAACATGTTTAAAAAAAAACATTATCTTATTACTGAAAGTCAGAGATAATATATGTCGTTTTACAGATATACATTGAAAACTTGAATTAAGGAAAAAAATATATTTGTATATTATAAATATAGTATACAGTTCAAATATTAAATGTAAACCAAGAAACAACCCAATATTCTTAATTTCTATAAGTACAACGATTTCCAATGCTGCGCCGAAAAATATACAAAAAATTAAGTACTAAAACAAAGGTGGGCTCAATTTTCGATGACATTCAGTTCACACGCTACTAATTATTTTAAAAAATGAAGTACAAGAGACAGATATTAAGAAAGTCACTGAGATTTTTTTTGTAAATCAGCAATATTGATTTAAAATAAAAAATTTATAGCCTTATTAATATGAATAAGGCTGTAGAATTTTGGTCTGATCATTAACAAAGTGTCATAATTACGGTAAATTCTAGTCTAAAACTTTGAAATCTCTTGTAAATATTTATTTTAGGAAAAATATGGCAAAATGTTTATTATTTTAATTAAGGGAAGATGTAGTAGATTATGTTAACATAATATTTCATTGTTCAAGAGAGGAACAGTTGATTTAGGAAAAAAAATTAAGCCTTTGACAGAAAAAATGACAACAAAAAAATTATGTACAACAGTCTCACATCAGATATTGAAAAGCTGAAAAATAAAACTTTAGCTACAAAAATAGTAAGGCCTGAATCAATAAAAAGCTTCATGAATAACTTTATTCCAGATTGTTTAAACTACATTTAATTTGAGAGAAATTACAAGTAATGTAGAATATAACAGAGGCAGCAGTTTATTAAGAGAGGCCTTAATATAATAATAATAGGTTACAATCATTAAAAACATTTTACAGAAGGAATATTTCGTTATGTCGCGCGTGTAACAGTTCCCTATAGTAAAAATTAAGTTAATACTAAACATTTACAATTATCCTAAGCATTAAAGTATCAATAACTTTGCCTCTCCAAAATCATAACGCATCAGAGCACATTTCTAATGTTATTTCAAATCTCTCTTATTTGTGTACATTTTTATTTTGTAAATGTAGATAATATATATTTTTTTGATAATTAAATTAAATTCTTACCAAAGAGTATTAATTAAACTTTTAAAACAAAAACAATCATTCAGTGAATAGAAATAAACGAATGACCGTTTATTCGGTTCTGACGTCACTAACGCATTTAAAATTAGAATACGCTACGCTCTTTTGTTTTTTTTTTAATTCTAGAGAGGCAAAGTAAATGAGCGTCGTAAGCATAGTAATTATTACTAAGCTTGTCGGCATTTTAATATTACAATTCTGCACAGATTATATAAACTTAACTACAACGCTTTATATTTACATGTGCGTTAAAATTAATTATAATGGCTGTGAGAGCTTTACAATGTCAAATGCCACAATTTTTTATACTTTTATAACACTGTAATAATATTAAGTACGAGATTCGTTATTTTATATGATGACAGAGAAATGTATTAATTAAGTGTGTTTATATCTTATTTATATTTGATAGAAATAACTATGCATTTAATTTTTTTTTGCATGAAATATATAGAAAATATGCAGTGTAAGTATAAAAGATCTATATTTCTTATATAAAAGGCATCAAGTACATTCCGATGTAACTTTTAGCCTCGTGTATGAATATTGTGTGACTCCTTTGACTCAATTGTTTGGAAGCGTGTATGATTGAGATCTATTAAAGAAACTATGAAATTAATTACAAGTATAACTTATGTATAAATCAGTTTCATATAACTATTATTTCTTATAAAAAATATTGAGTAGCTGCCATAAAGCTGGGAACGATTTCAATTTATTTGTCTAATGGAGTATTTAATATTGAGTTGAACATACAAGTACAATATATTTGCAAATATAAACAAAAATTTTGTATTATTAGAATTATCCAATCTAGTTTTTTTTTTTTTTTTTTCAATTAAATAGGTTGTTTAAAACAACTATAATCATGGCATCATTATTTTGTATACAAATATTACAAATCAACTTTCAATTCTGTTGACAATAATTGCATATTGAGAAACTGTCTGTTATTGACAATTTTTCATTTAATTACAATTTATAAAATTACTATTCAATATTCAGAATATTTTATTACCGCGTATGTATTTTTTAGTATTGTAGTATTGAATATAGTGAATATTGAATGATGTGCGGTGCATGTTGGTGTGTGTTGGTGTGTTGGTGTGTGTTCAGACGATGATCTCGCGGATGACGCGGCGCGCGCGCGAGTTGGGCGTGGAGTAGCCGGACTCCAGCGACTCGTCGTAGCTGAGCGAGAGCGGCGGCGGCTTCTCCTCCGCGCCGCCCTCCTCGCCCTCCGCGCACCCCCCGCCCACCGCGTACGGCTCCGGCAGCCCGCTCACCTCGTGGTACGGGGACTCTGTACATACGTAACATTGCATTTACATTTATACTTATATCAGCTGTTGGAAAATTAAATAATAGAAATAGAAATAAGCAGTCTATGTGTTTCAGACTATCGTCTATATCTTTACCAAATTTCATCGGGTTCCATTCACCCGTTTAGGTTACAAACTCTAACATTCATCCATCTAAACTTTCACATTTATAACATAAGTATGATTATACTAATAATATAAACAGAACAAAATAATGTTGTATGTAATTAATAAACATAAAATCTACAGGGTCAATATCTAAAATGATTTTAACATTAGGAAGCTACATTATCACCAAGCCCCATAGGATTTTTTTTTAACTCTGCACGGACAATCTCAATTTCAAAACGGCTATACAGATTTAAGTGATATTTGTCACATGAACATGGACTAATATTTAAGTTTAACATAGAACAAGGAAAAAATAAAGAAAAACTTTTATTGGGTATAGAAGAGAAGACTGATGTATAAATGCATCATCATGCATATAAGTTATGCTAGTTTGAATACTGACCGGTGTGCTGGTCCATGCGCTTCTTGGGCTTGTGCACGGAGGCGTAGGAATCGGAGCAGTAGTCCTGGC